TCACTGATAACAGGTTGGGTGCATATCCTACTCTTCTTAGCCTTTCATTGCCTTCTTTAGAGAAGTATTGATAAGGAAACGTGTCTCTCTGCTGTGCATCTCTCTCTGTGCTGGGATTCCTTTATTGTTCACTCTTCTTCCTTGCCCTGGATCTAGCTGGCCAGCTTATCAATAGCTTGCAGAAAGCCATGGTAAGCTTATGTTCTGAATCTCTTCCTTGTCGTGCCTCTGCAGAGAACTCTGCTGGGAAAGGTCAATCCAAGAAGCATATTATGTATCATTTGGAGTAAAAAAGAATCCTTGTTATTAACCGATTTCAACACAGAAAGGAGTGGAAATACCCAGAAACATGGATAATATTTCACTTCTGCAGGCAGAGCCAGGGAGGGCACAGGTGTAGGCCTAGGATGATTCCCTCCTGCCTTGGCCAAGCCTTTCCTCCCTAAGGGGCTTGGGGGCCTGCATTCAGCTGAGAGCCCTGACATCACTTCACTCAATAAAGCTCAGGGCAACTTCCCTTAGGGAAGGGGACTGAGAAGCCAAGACCAGGCATGAGAGGAGTTTCAGAATGGGACCCAATTAGTCTGGCATCACCAAGAGCGGGATCGAGAGCCCTATAGATAGGAAACTACTCATCACTGCTTGATATCTTCTCATTTCCAGTTCTGGGAATTCGCAAAGCTATTAAGGAACAGTAGGACACCCACCCAAGCACAACATTCTGGCTTGAACATGAGGCTGCATATGCAAAAAATCATACCAAATAGGTTCGTGCAGTCTGGCATCAGATCCTCCAAGGTCAGGTTATACTCACTCAGTAGGGCCAAGTTCTGCCTGTCTGTTCAAGGGGAAGATCCTGGTCTCTGGTAGCTTCTTAGTGCCAGGGATGTCTGGGCATTCCTTCCCTGTGTGTACATGTATCTTCACATGTCATTTTTGTACTTCAGGCCTCAGTTCCATCTCCACGGGTCACAGACTAGCAAGTGGAAGACTGGGGTGTGTTCTTCTGGATGGCCCAGGAGTACTTTTAACACGCTGAGCGGCCAGTGTGCCACCCTTCAGAGTTGTACCCCAGGCTGGGAGGACAGCTGGAGCAAAGGCAAAGGTAAGTGAATAGTGGTACTAAGAGTGAGAGCAAGTTGTATAAGCAGGTTGGTTGGAATGAATTTAAACGGAGCAGGGAGGGCTGGAGATCAAGTGTTCTCTAGGCTTGGGAGTTAACATTTCAGACTCTGGGCTTTACCCTGTCAGATTCCAGGCAAGGGAATGGAGGAGGGTTGAGGTCAGACTTGTGCTATTGCTGGTTTAACTGGCTCCTGTGTAATAGAGGGCCTGAAGGGGCAGGATCAAAAGCTGTTAGATTCCTTGGGTGGGAAATACCTCGGTCCTTGGCTTCGTACAAGGAAGCATTCACACTGAAGCCTAGTTTGTGATCCAAGTGGGTTTTAATAAAGGATAGAAGTTACAGGTGTTACAGTCAATGCACATAAGCATCCTCAAGGCACTGCACACCCAAGTGTGGTGGCCTGAGGACTCAGAGAGAAACCACGGCCTGGCCAAGTGGAACCTCAGCCCTGCCAAGCAGAAGGCCAAGGAGCAGCTGGAAAAAGAGATGTGGCCTCCAGGTTCGTTTTTAGGGCCTTCTGCAGGTGGCGTGGTAGGTACGGGTTGACTCCATAGACTGAATTAAGCCCACCTGGCCCTGATTGGGCCAATCCAGGTGTACCACCCGCCACTCCAACTTCGGGCCTGAATTGGTGCTTGCTCTTTAGCCTTTCTTGGCTTCCAACTTCCTCTAGGGGCCCCTAGGCATGTGAGAGGTATAGTCCCCTATTTTGCTACCTAACAAAGCCAGGGACCTAGGTGGGAGGCAGATGCAGGGCCTTTTGGAAAGGAGGACATGCTGTGATCCAGGATTTTCTTCAGAGGTCAGAAGATGTAGGAAATGAAAGCCTGGGCTCTAAAGTGAGAGGAATCAACTTCTCCGAGACTGCTGGGTACACTTGACTGTCTCGGTCTCCTGCTAGGGGGTTAGAGAAGACAGGAAGGCTACATGACTCAGTCAGATAGGTCTTGGGCCTTTCAAGAAATCATTAAAAAGCTTAGCCAGTGCCTGACAGAAAGTAAATGAAGGATAATTCTCGGCTTTTGTTATTGTCTTTTAGGGTGGGGTCTTAAATTACCTGGTGCTACAGGGTGGGTCCTCATAATCCCCTGTTGATTTCCGAGACTGTCAACTCTTTACAGGAGTAAAAGCCTCTTGTGGTTTTAAGCTGCTGATCTTGTGGCTAGCAGCCCATTAGGTAACCACTACACCACTAAGGCCCCTTTTTATGGGCTAGGAGTGTAATCAAGGCAGCAGCGGGGCCAAGTTCTGTCTGTCTGTTCAAGGGGAAGATCCTTGTCTCTGGCAGCTTGTGTCAGGGATGTCTGGGCATTCCTTGGCTGTGTGTACATGTATCTTCACATGTCATTTTTATAAGACAAAATTGAGATAGGATTGGGTTTAGCGCTGTATTAGTCTGGGTATTTTGGAGAAACAAATCCACAGCAACTCATGTATAAGAGAGAGTTTTATGCAAAGAAAATGTGCATCACGAAAACATCCCAACCCAATGCTGCCCAAGCCCACAAGTCCAACATTAACCCATACCCAACACCAGTCCACAAAGTCCTTCACCTCACAAAACAGAGGCAATAATGCCGACTGCAGGAGGAAAGCTGAGTCAGTGAACGTGTAAGCATCTCAGCACTGGCAGGGGTCTCCACACGGCTGCTCCAGCACCCAGGGCTGCATCGGGATAGATCCATGCGGCTTCTCCTTGGGGATGTCTTGTAGGAAATCCATCTTGCAAGCTGAAGCAGGGAACTGCTAAGGCAGCTGCACCCGATGCAACCATCACAAAACAAGAGACCCGAGAACTAGAAAGGTGAGGCTCACCACCCATTTATCCCTCCACCTTTCAACCAGCACCACATGTGATTATTGGCCAGGCTGGCACAATTAACTAACTCAAGCGCTTACCTTACCCTAATAGGACTTCATTAACACAAAAAACAAATAGCTCATTTTCCAAACTGGGACAAGACTTCAATATATAGTTAAACCATAACGGTGAGGCTTTGTAACACACAGTCACCAATGAGCCAAACTCAACTTGATACTGTTTTCAATATTCTGTGCATGCTGTAAAACACATATATTCCAGCTATTTCACTTATTTCTTGAACTACACAATTTAGACCACTGTCTTTCGCTTGCTTATGGGCTTGCGTGGAGTCATCTTGCCCTACCAATCTTTTCCACTTTTCAGTCTGTTGCCCTGGATGGTACACAGTTAAGTGCTGGGCTACTAAATGAAAGGTTGGCAGTCGGATTACACTCAGAGTTGTGTCAGAAAAAAATGCTCCGGTGCTTTATTTCTGAAAGGTACTAGCCATGGAAATGTCTGTGGAGCAGAGCTGCTATGAAATACATAGGGTAGCCATGATTCCAAATCTTCACATCAACCATTTTTTTGCTGTTTGATTGGGTCTGCTAGACCAAGTCGTGGGATCTTCTATCCTAATGACTTTTCCAGCATGTTGGAAAAATGTCACTGGCTGGGGGCTCTGGAGCTGGTTGAGTCAAATAGTTGGCAGTCACTGAGGTGCTGCAGTGAAACAGGGAGGCAGTGCTGAGGGTCAGCACTTGTCCCTGATCCAGTCTACTAGGATGTGGGGTGGAGGGAAGAGGGTCCAGAGCAGCTCTCCCCACACAGATCAGATGGGACAATGCCTCCCCTCTAGCCAGTCTGGAAGCCTACCTCCCATCATTTATCTTCCTCCCTCCACCTCTCAATCATAGATGATTCAAGGGCCCTCAATTGTTCAATTGTGGGCAGTGGGGACACAGCCAGCAGTGAACCCTCGACCGATGCAACAGGAGGCGCTGTCCAGACGGGACTCACACCCAGACCACTCGACTCCAAAGACAGTTTCAAAGTCCTCACAATAGTGATTTTAGTAGTTGCTTTATAAATCAGTGCAGACGCAAAGCCACACTCACCTCCCAAACCTTCCAGGAGTACAGTGGGGTCTCAGTGGACTTCCACTGGCAGTGTGGCAGCTCCTGTGAGCCAGCAAAGCATTTATCCCCACTGGGCTTGGTGTCAGTCACCCACCCCAAAACTGGACTGCCAGGGACACTCACACCGAGAGAGAAAACCTGCAGATGCAATGGAAGAGGGGATGGAGACCAGCCCCAGGTTGGTCATGGAACACTTCCCACCATCAACCATGTTATATAGGATCTCATTGTCTCCTCCAAGTGGCACCTCATGCCCACCTTACCCATAGGGAAGTGGAATCTCAGGGAGTGATGGACTGGGGAGACAGAAGACACTCCTGGCATCAAATTCCCTCGTGGCCAGCTCTTCCAGGTCTCACCTCCCGCCTCAGTGTTGGTGTCACAGGGCCCCTTACATTTGGGGTATCACCTCTTCACCTGGATCCTGTCTCCAAAACCTAGACCATTCCTCTCCCCAAACAAAGGTTTGACTTGCTGGTACATTTACCTAGCTATATATTTAAAGATTCTCTGGTTTTGGTTAAATCATTTTATTGGGGGCTTGTACAACTCTCATCACAATCCACATATCCAACCTTTGTGTCAAGCACATTTGTTGCAGTCATTCTCAAAACATTTTCTTTCTACTTGAGCCCTTGGTATCAGCTCATTTCCCCTCCTCCTTCCCCCCATCCTCCCATCTTCATGAACCCTTGATAATTTATCAATTCTTTCTTCGTGTCTTCAATTGACATGTCTCCCTTTACTCACTTTTCTGTGGTCCATACCCCTGGGAGGGGGTTATATGTAGATCATTGTGATAGGTCCCCCTTTCTCCTCACACCTTCCCCTTGCCCTCCTGGTATTGCTACTCTCAGTATCGGTCCTGAGGGCTTTATAGGTACTGGACTCCTTGTTTCCAGTTCTTATCTGTACCCATGTGCATACTCTGGTCTAGCCTGAGTAGTAAGGTAGAATTGGGGTCATGAGGAAGCATTAAAGAACTTGAGGTATGTTGTGTTTCCTGTGTGTTATACTGCACCTGGGCTGGCTCATTCCTTCCTTGTGACCCTTCTGTAAGGGGATGTCCAGTTGTCTACAGATGGGCTTTGGGTCCCCACACTCACAGCAAACTCAGGATTCCTCTGGAGTGATCCTTCTGATATTTATTGAGACTTTACTTATAGCTGTCCACATGTGGCTTCTCTTGAATGTTTATGCTGGTGCTTAAGGAGACCTGCTTTGCGGGTAAAGTCTCGCCCACACTTGTTGCACACATGTAGCCTCTCCCCCGAGTGGATCCTTTGATGTAAGATGAGAAGACACTTCTGGATAAAGCCTCGCCCACACTCCTCACAGACATGTGGCTTCTCCCCAGAGTGCATCTTCTGATGATTGATGAGTTTCCCCTTGCACCTAAAGCCTTTCCCACATTCCTTGCACAAGTAAGGTTTCTCACCCGAGTGTATCCTTTGGTGTGCGATGAGATTTGCCTTGCAGGTAAAGCCGTGTCCACATTGCTCACAAACATTTGGCTTTTCCCCTGAGTGCATCCTCTGGTGTCTGATGAGAGCTGAACTGCAGGCAAAGCCTCGCCCACATTGCTTGCACAGGTAAGGTTTCTCACCTGAGTGTGTCCTTTGGTGTATGATGAGAGTTGACTTGCAACTAAAGCCTCGCCCACATTCCTTGCACACATGTGGCTTCTCCCCTGAGTGCATCCTCTGGTGTGCGATTAGAGCTGACTGCCAGCCAAAGGCTCGTCCACATTGCTTGCACACGTAAGGTTTCTCACCCGAGTGCATCCTTTGGTGCGTGATGAGATATGACTTGCAACGAAAGCCTCGCCCACATTCCTTGCACAGGTAAGGTTTCTCACCCGAGTGTGTTTTTTGGTGTTTGATGAGAGTTGACTTGTAGCCAAAGCCTCGACCACACTCCTTGCACACATATGGCTTCTCTCCTGAGTGCATCCTCTGGTGTTTCCTGAGAGTTGACTTGCAGCCAAAGCCTCGTGCACATTGCTTGCACACGTACGGTTTCTCACCTGAGTGTATCCTTTGGTGGGCGTTGAGATTTGACTTGAAGCAAAAGGCCCGCCCACATTGCTTGCACAGGTAAGGTTTCTCACCCGAGTGTGTCCTTTGGTGTCTGATGAGAACTGACTTGCAGGGAAAACCTCGTCCACACTCCTCACAAACATGGGGCTTCTCCGCTGAGTGTGTCTTCTGATGTATGATGAGGCGTGACATTTGGTTAAAACCTTGTCCACACTCTGTACACACGTGTGGCTTTACTGAGTGTGTCCTTTGGTGTGTGGTGAGATTTGACTTGGCGGTAAAGCTTCGTCCACACTCCTCACAAACATGTGGCTTCTCCCCTGAGTGTGCCCTCTGGTGTACGTGGAGATTTGAGTTGTAGCGAAAGCTTCGCCCACACTCCTTGCACACATACGGCTTCTCCCCTGAGTGCGTCCTCTGATGTCCCCTGAGACTTGACTTACAGCCAAAGCCTCGTCCACACTCCTCACAAACATATGGCTTCTCCCCTGAGTGTGTCCTCTGGTGTCTGATGAGATATGACTTGCAGCTAAAGCCTCGCCCACACTCCTTGCACACATATGGCTTCTCCCCCGAGTGGGTCCTCTGATGTGTCCTGAGACTTGACTGGCGGCCAAAACCTCGTCCACATTCCTTGCACAGGTAAGGTTTCTCACCTGAGTGTGTCCTCTGGTGTCTAATCAGACTTGACTTGGAGGGAAAAAGTCGTCCACATTCCTCACAGACATGTGGCTTCTCCCCTGCGTGTGTTCGTTGGTGTGTGATGAGATTTGTCTTGCAGGGAAAGCCTCGTCCACACTCCTTACAAACATGTGGCTTCTCCCCTGAGTGTGTCCTCTGGTGTCTGCTGAGATTTGACTTCCAACAAAAGCCTCGCCCACACTCATTGCACTCATACGGCTTCTCCCCTGAGTGCATCCTCTGGTGCGTAATAAGATTTGATTTGTAGCTAAACCCTTGCCCACGCTCATTACACACATAAGGCTTCTCACCTGAGGATGTCTTTTGGTGTTTGGTGGGTGATGGCTTGTAGCTAAAGCCTGGCCCAGATTTGTCACACACATTAGGTTCTGCCTGTGCACATGTCCTCTGCTCCATAAGGACAAGTGATTCCTGGTTAAAGCCTTGGCAGCACTCACGGTATAAATGTGTTTTCTCTGCTGCATGTGTCCTTTGCTTTGCGGTAAATTTTGAATTCAGGCCAATGTCTGCCTCATTGTCTCTACAAGTGATTGCTCCAAATCTTGAGGTTTCAACTTCCTTTAACCCTTTGTCCGTTTCCATAAAGGTATTGACCCTTTGGAATGAGTCGGGCTCCATTGCTACCAATGTGCTGTTGCCTTCTCCCGAGTTTGCTGACTGTCTTCGGGCTGGACTAGAGGATGCCCTTAAGGTCTCTCTCTCCCCTGTGCCCCCACACAAGGGGTTGGAGATATCTTTTATGTCCCAACCTTGTGTGTTTTCACTCTTGCAACTCTCATCAGAATGGTGCTGCTCTGGCTGCCTCTGGGGCTGTGGGCTGGCATCCCCTGGATGGAAGTGATCGTCTGCACACAAGGCTGGGAAGATCTGAAGCACGTGCTGCCCGAGGAACTGCTGACAGGAGAAAGCCAGGAGGCAGGAGGAACAGGGGGAGGTTTCTGATTTGGGTTCTGCAGGAGAGAGAGTTTTGTGTTAGAACAGCTATGAGTGCGGCTTCCCGGGCAGTGCTGCCTTCTCGTATGACAGACAGAATCTCACTGCTGGAGTCCCTTGGGGGTACACACAGTTGTGCACCTGACTGGGACCTGAAAGGGTGCTGACTCACAAGACAGCCTGGTGACATGCTGGCAATCTGATAGAAGGATATAGGATGGAACGGCTCTAAGCTACTCTTCACCCTTGTGTTCACCATGAGCCAGAGTCCACTTGATGGCAACCAACAACAATCTTAATAGCACATTTATAACAGACAATATAGACAACATATCTTTTCCCCATCAAGCATTTATTTTTGTTCCCTTTGTAAAAATTACACTTTCTAATGTAATCTAGAAGACTCCAGGTGTGGCAGTGGTTGCAGCCCTTGGAAGCAATCTAGAAAGTTGATGGTACAAACCTGCCAAGAGCTCAATGGGGCAGTAGTCTATTCTAGAAGGGCACAGGGTAGAAAAACAATATGGAACTCTGTAATCTACTCTTAACACCTGGGGTGACCAGGAGTCTGAATTCACCTGATGGCAACTAATGATGATTTGACTGCCACATTTCTAATAATATATACCACGATAGATAGGTTTCCCACTAAAAGTTCATTCATGGTCCAACTTTATCAATCACAAGATGTACTGCAATCCAATAGGGAGGATGGTGCAGGACCAGCAGTGTTTCGTTCTGTTGTGTCTACATCCGCTGTGGGCCAGAACTGACTCCACGTGCCTACCCCGACAACTGCACTCCAGAAGGACTCCCAGCACTTCACTGATGAAAGCACTCTGATGTACTGTACTCCCAAAGTGGGTGGTTCGAACCTATCCTATCGAGAACTCAATTTTAGAACAGTCTGCTTCTATAAAGATTTAAAACATTAAAAACTCGATGTGACATTTCATCGTGTTTTATAGGACAAGAGAACCCATATCCAAACCCTCTTCAACAGTCAAACTAGAATTTCTCAAGCAAGCATCCAACGATACTGTGCTTCTGCCTGCTGACCAGCCTTTCCTTCTACTCACACCTCTGAGCCAGACACTCACTTTGATATAGTCTCCTCAACATTTTGCTCCCACTTGGAATAACAGTGTCTATGACCACTGTGGAGGAGCCCAAGTGGCAGAGTGGAAACATGACAACAGATTAGATAAAACAAACAAACCACGGTTGAGACACTAAGAAAACTGTAACCAGTGTCACTGAGCAAGCTGTGTACAAACCACTGAGTGAGAACTTAACCTGCTGTGGACATTTTCACTTAACAGTCCCAAAATTTTCAAACACCTCCCCCGCCCCCAAAAAAAAAAATTGAAGAGAGTGACATTATCTGTCATTTTGTTTGAGCCAAATTACTCCACTGTACTATGCTGCCCATATCGTAGTGAGGACTATCATCTTTTTTCTTTGCAGCCAGGCATCATCCAGCTGTAATGTCATCTTAAAGGACGGAGTGAGTTGGCTCCTGGAGACAGTAGCTGCACACTCCACTTATCCTAATCTCCACTCCACCTCCTTCATCCAGAACTGAGACCAACTGTCTGCTCTCATGGCCAACTGCAAGCTCTGAAGACCCTAGGCACCACTCGGGGAACGTGGAAGTAGAAGAGAAGCACTAGACCTGTCCCTTTGACCCAGCTAAATGAGTTAACAAAGAGAAAGATCTGTTAGACGTGCAGAGGTTAGTTTGTTTCTGTGGATCACTTCTTGCACTGACCCCATGTACAACTGAACAAAGCGGTGCCGCTCCTGTGTTAGCTTCACAATCATTCTATGCTAAGGCCACTGTCACACTCAGTACGTCTTTCTGCTGCTCCACTACTCGCTTTTCACTTTATAGACTCGTCACCACTGGGCATGCCCTATTTTAATGTCTGTATAAAAGCTTCCTGATGGTTGTCTGTCTCTTCATAGTCAAGGTTAAACCCAGTGAACTCGGGGTTTTAAGGATGATATGGACTAATTTGCGCTCAGTATCTAGGATATGATCTGTCACATATCTATTGCCATTGAGCTGATTCTGATTCCTAGCAACTCCATGTAGGGAGTCTTCGAGGCTGTGGATCTTTATGGGAGTGGACAGGCTGATTTTTCTCCTGAGGAGTGCCTGGTGGGTCTGAAACATCCACTTTGTGGTTTTCGGTCTAATGCTACCTGACAGAAACGTTGTTACTACCAAGTCCATTATAACTCATGGCCACCCACACCATGTGTTCAGAGTTAGAAACACCAGAATACTTTTTTTTGGTGTACTTTTGTTGAAGCAGATACCAGGCCTTTCTTCCTTAGTGACCCTGAACAGGTTAGAACCACCAATCTGAAACATAATACTTGAGCATACACTATGGTATGTAGAAAATCTTTGGTACACAAAATAACAGAATTATCTGTTCCTGTCAAGCTGATTCTAGTTCATACTGACCCTATCAGACAGAGCCATTTCCCCACAGGACTTCCAACCATGTAAACCTTATGGAAGAAGATTGATCCATGTGTATCCCCAGGAGCAGTTGGTGGGTTCAAACCACTAACTGATTAGCATCCCAGTGTCTCACCACTCCCCCACTGGGATTCCGTTGGCTCACAGCAGGTAGCTAATTGCTTCACCTACTGAAACAATGAAGGGAAGAGAGGACTTCCTCACCCAAGGAGAGCAGATTCTTGTATGTCTCCAGCATCACGTCTCTGTACAGGTTCTTCTGCTCAGAGCTCAGCAACATCCATTCTGCCTCTGTGAGGACCACAGTGACATCCTCTAGTGTCACTGGTTCCTACAATAAACAGAAAACAAAACATAGCAAATCACCACTTTTTTTTTTTTACCCTATTGGTGGGGAACACCAAAATTAAACATTTATTATTCACTTGAGGAAAATCCACCCCTTAGAGCTGCTGGCCAAAGTCCTGTACTATGACGCCTCAGCCTGATGGGAGACCTTTTCCCCAGGGCCTAGCGCCTATGGCTAGGCTTCGGAGGAAACCACAATGAAGCGCAGGCATGCAGTCCATGCCGAGGGCATGGGGTCATTTGGCCAGGTCCTCTGCCACAGCTTAGCACATCTTGTCCTTGAGGTAGGCGCCTTTCTGCCATTCAGACTTGTGGTCCAGCCACTCATAGTAAGGAACATCGATGACCAGGAAACCGGCAGCCAGCATGTGGCGTCGCTTCATGAAGAAGCGGTCCAGTAAGTCTGTGCTCGTCTATTGAAATTGGAAAATTGCCATCTCAGGAAGGCCAGCCTCTTTGCTCCAGAGGGCAGTGGCTGGCTCCTTGGTGACTGAGCAAGATGAGGAGCAGCAAAGTCCCTCAGGTTAAGAAACTGGGCCTTCAGTGTCCAGCAGCACCTCAGCATCCAGAACCCAGCCATACTGTGTGTCTACTGCAAAGCAGCCCTTGTGGGTACCACCCAGCAGCCCCTTGAGGGTCTCCTGAAGCTCCTTCTGCAGGGGTCACCTTCTTGTCAAGGGTGGTGGACCTGGAACCAAGGCCAAGTCTGGCAAAAGGGGTTTCGTGTACTCAAAGGGTTTTCCAGCTGGGCAGTGGCACTGATGTGCAGAAGCTTCTGAAAGGCATTCTGATCCTTAGGAGTCTTGCCATCTAGAAACTGGGTGTATAATCCGGAAGAGAGGACAGTTCGCAGCTTTATTTCCTGAAGCTGCTGTAGCACACACAAGGCCCACATCACCTCTACCTGCAGAGCAGGACTCAGGCCTGCCAGTTCTGATGCAAGCTTCTTTTGCACCAGACTGAAGAACCGATCTTCCTGTTCCGGATGGGAGTTCAGACGTGCGAAAGCTAGACCACATTGCACAGAGCAGCAGGGTGATGTCCTGGGCTTTGTTCAAGATGTGCTGGGCAATGGCTTCAAACAGGCAGATTCAAACACTCGACGAAGGCCAAGGATTTACAGCAGCGGGCCACCTCACTGTGCATCAAGCTGGGCACATGGGGCAGTAGATCAGCTGTCAATCGCTGGAATATCTGGGTCTGATGAAGCCGAGTTTACCATAGGCATAAGCCAGGTCCATCAAGATGCCTTTCGTCAAAGTAAAGGGTTTCTGAACCAGGTGATGGGAGATGGCCCGCAGCAAAGGCGCTGACCTACAGTTCTGTACTGCCAGTCAGTGGCACCTTTCACAGTTCATCAGGGCCAAATGGTTCCACCAGCTCCAGGCACTTGTCTTCCAGACGGTTCACCAGTGGCTCTGAGAGGTGGTGCGACCATCTTCAATTTCAGCCCAGCGGCTCTCCAGGTTCACAAGCAGCTCTATCAGCAGCTCCCTTGAGTCCCAGTCCTGCATATAGGTGGTGCTGGTCTCAGCCAGGAAGGCCAGATGCTTCTATTGGAACTTCCACATTCGCCATCGGACTTCCTGCTCCACTGACTAGCTCCGTGAGGTCTGAGGGAGTGCTAGTGAATCGAGGCTTTGCAGCAACTTCACAAGGGTCCCATGCCAGACAGAAGTTATCTGACTGTTGGCAAGTTGGAGAAGTTGCTGAAAATGGGCATCCTGAATCAAAGAGGCTTTGATGAACTCTGGCTTCTCAGACAGCAAGTGCGAGAACTGGTTAAGGATGAGGGCAGCATGGTTCTGGTGTAAGCGGTGACCACCACTAGATATTTCTAGTAGCACCTCTGGGGTGGTGGCCTTTTCAATGAGCTGGTCTACTTCCTGGCGCTCTGGGTAGGGTGTAAACACTGGTTCCTTTTCATCAAGTTCAGTTAAGGAACTTGAGGAGTGGGAACTAGGTGAGATAGCTGAGAAAGTCAGTCCTTGGGTCATCGTAGCGAGTTGCAGTCGGCCAACTGGAGACATAATGGGCTACCCGGGCTGGCCTCTCTCAGGAGGGATGTGCATCGCTTTATCAGGTGAGTGGCCATGGTGGCTCCTTGGTTGCAGGAAGGAAAGACTCCTAGTAAGTGATTCCAAGACACTCCATCTGCCTCTGGCGTCGTCCCTCAGCCAAAGAGCGCAAATCACCATCCATTTTCACAAGGAGAGTTTAACAAAATGAGCCCAAAGAATCTGCATCTGAAGAAGTTCATCTAATTCTTTCCAGAGAACACAGTTCTCCATAGCAAGTTCTTCAAACATGACTGCATACCTGGTTTGGGGTAAAATCTGTGAGGAGTACAAGGTATGTACAAAATAGGTCTCAGAGATTTATTACTTTATTGGAGAAATTGGGAAACAATTTGAACAAATTAAGCAGTATTTAAGAACACATGCCTTTAAGAATTCAAAATGAAAAAAAAAAATCAAAATGGATAAATCACTTCTCTTTGGGAGTATGGAAGCTCTGTAATGGCACCTCTCTCAGACCTGACCTCAGGCATCCATTTCTGTCCTGTTTTGCTACAAAAATTAATATTAGAGTCATGAACACAGCTCACTGTGTGACTTATGTGAATTGTTCCAGAGAATTATCAAAGCCGTAGGGGAACTGGGATCCAATAGGGCAGAAGTCAGGGAACCAGGGGCTCACTCTAAAGCACATGGCTGGCTTCCTACAGGGGTAAAGAAAAAGACTGAAATTGTGTCAGAAGCAAGGGAAAGCTACGACGTGTGAGGCTGACACCTTGAAGGGGGAGGTGTGCACACCCCCTAAGTGTATATAAGCCTTGGTTAGAAATATACTCTTTCCCCCTCTTTTCTCCCAACTCCACCTGTACCTCCAAGAGGGGCTGAGGTGAGCATGCTACTATAAAACGTGTCTGGCCCTTTATTTTCTATTTTTCCTGTCTTCTATGACTTTACTATAATCTTTATATCTTATCGCCATACAATTGCACCTGAGGACCCCTGGGTTGTTAGAAGCTAGTTTACTCTAACAGCACTATCAGTTCTTAATCATATGATACCACTTGGAATGGTTGGTGACCAGTTCAGATAACTAGATAGATAGAGTGATTCTGTGTATTCCTTCCCTCTTCTTTTGATGCTTTGTGCATCACGCAATATTTTGCCCACAAAATCCCTCCGTATTTCAAATCAAGGCTTGAATTTTCCCTCACTTCGATCAGCTTCCTTCAGAGAAATTCTGAGCATGTTTGTGTTAGGTTGGGTTCTCTCCAGAAGCACATCAGTGATGCTTGGAGGTAGAAAGAGCTTTCTCTCAGGAAATGGCTACACAGTTGTAGAGACCTGTAAGTCCATTCCAGTTCAAGTGATACTTCTGACTCATTGAAGCTGAAAACTGGGAAGCAAGGTGACAAAGCAGAGATAGCCAGGGCACAGAATGGTAGATACAGAAGTGATGTGAACCCGAAATTGGCCAAATGAATCCCCTGTTGGTAGTCTGCTGCAGGCAGGTGATGCAACAAGAGATTAAGGAACCAGACATAAGATCCTGCTTTAGCAGAAGGTGAAGGGCAAAGAGACTTAGACTCTGCTCCATCTCTCTCTTATACAAAGAGGCATCATCAGGCTGTGACCCAGCTGAATGGTTGGACTCTGCTTCTACTCTTACCCGGGAGGGTCTAGTTGATGTAGTCTCTGGCCGTCACAATGTCCTTCCTTGTTGGTTTTCTAAGTCCTTGTTTTTTCCCCACATGTCCTTTTAATACAGTATTTTGTCGTTCTTGATGTATCCTTGAAAATTTCTGTTCAGCTCTTAACTTTGTCATGATGAAAGGAAGATTTCCAACTTATAGATAGCAGGACAATGAGGGTGTCATGTGAGTCTCAAATTTCAGCTAGAATTACTTATCTTCGCAGTACAAAAATCAGCAATTTTTAACTTTGTTAGATCTTACCTAGTTCCAAGTGGTTAGGGTCAAAGAAGTCTAGCGTGGGCAGCTGTTGTTGGAAATGAGTAAGAAAATAGAAAAGACTAATTCTATATTTTATATTTGTTGATCATATTCCCAGATGAAGGCTAATGTCTATAAGCAGAGCCACCACCACCCCCACTTGCTTGCACAAACATCCACCCACAGAAACATCCTATTCAGTAATTTCTTACCCACCCACAAATGGTCCTGGTTCCTGAAACAGGCAAAACCAAGTATCCTACCCACAAATGTACTCAAAAGTTTCCCCTTGACTGGTACTATAAAACCCTGCTAGTCTGTACAGAGAGGGCTTTTTTTTTACTCTGGTCAGAGGCCCCTCTCAAGCTTCTTCAATCAACTGTCACCCGCTGTTCAGTCTGTCCTACATATCCTCTTCTAACATTTATTATCTGAACACTGAAAATTAGACTGTCTCTTACACGAAGGGGTACTCTTCCCCCAAAATGGAAATTTTTTTAAAAGGTATGTATTTAAAAGTGTTTTTTGCAAAACACTCTCAACAACTTAAAAGTATTCTCCAATATGCTCAATACTTTGTCAAATCTTCTATTTCATTCTTGAGAACATTCTTCAAACTCATTTGTTTAAAGGGCTAACAGTAACTCCCTAATTTTCCTTTTTAAAATCATTTTCTTGGGGGCTCTTACAGCTCTTATAAAAATCCATACATCAATTTTATCAAGCACATCCGTACATATGATGCCATCATGTTCAAACATTTTCTTTCTACTTGAGCCCGTGGTATCAGCTCGTCTTTGAGGTTCCCCCAACCTCCCACCCTCATGAATCCTTGATGTATTAGAAATTATTATTCTCAGATCTCACACTGTCTGCTGTTTGTGTCACCCATGTTACTGTTGTTTGTCCCCCTCCTTCAGTTTTTTGTTCACTTCTTCTAAGTTGTTAAATTGCTGTCCTTTCATGTCCCTCTGCATTTGTGGAACGAAAAAGTCACAGGGAGTGCGGCCAGGTGAGCAAGGTGCATGGGGCAAGGAAGGCATGCTGTCTTTTGGCAATGAACTGGCACACTGAGATGGTTGTGTGAGCAGGTGCATTGTCATGGTGGCAACACCAGTCCCCCGACTGCCACAAATCAGGCCTTTGTTATTGCACACTGTTATGCAATCATTTCAAACCTCTAAATAGAAAGCTTGATTAATCATCTGACCTGGTGGAACGAACTCCAAATGCACTATCGCCCTCACATCCGGTATTTTGGAAAACCCCCTTGCAGATGGCTGTTGAAGGTATATGGTGGCACCTGAGAAGCTTCGTTTTAATTTTTCAATTTTAGTACATTTGAAAAGATAAAAAAGTTAAATGCAAAAATATACCCAGAATGTAAGATGACATCCTTAGATATTACATATATAGATGTATAGTGCAAGTAGTGTATTTTCAAATGTTAATACTCTCCGTGAAGGATAATGTCTAATCAGAAAACCCCCACTGGTAGGAACAACCTGTTCTGTTATATCGTGTGCGAAGGGCGGACATCCTCCTGCAGAAACATCTTGATCAGTAATCCCCACACTTCCACAAGATGATCCTGGTTCCTGGAATTGGCTAATCACGTATTCCTGCCCACAAATGTGCTCCCCTTGATGAATCCTATAAAACCCTGCTGTTCTGGACAGAGAGCCTTTTGACTATGGTGAGATCCCTCTCAGGTGTTCTATAATAAACCTGTCTCCCCTGCCCGCAGCCCAGAACCCCGCGGAGCAAGGCCGGCAGCCTGCAGCATGGACTCGGATTCCGGGGAGCAGAGCAGCAGAGCGAGGGCGAGACGGGGACCGCCACAGGTCGAGTTTCCCATGGCAGCATTCCTAAGGGCAGCAGCAGACATTTCTTCTGTTTACAAAGCTTACTCTGCCCTTCTTCCCGCCTGATTGAGTGACGTCAGCATCAGCTCACAAAAGCTGGTGCCAAGCCCATTGGAATTATCAACACCAACCAGAAAGATACCTGGAAACCCTCCTGTCTACAAGAGTCACAGACATCCCAAAGACTTACAATACCAGAATTGACCTTTTGTTCTCTCTCTTGCCTCTGGCTCCTGCTCACTACCTGAAATACTGGCTCTGGCTCCCGTTGGGACTCTTTTTGCCTTTCCTTTTTCTGCCAGATCCCAAAGCAAAAGGGGTGGCTGTGACATTGAATGCTTTTCTCGCCAGACTCTTGTAATTTGTCATTGGGTCTGTATTAAACCTATTTCCCCTTTATGTAATAGGGGCTCTCATGGACTTTATACCTCTTAAGTTAGCGAATTCTCTGGCTTTAGATAAAGGGCCAGCTCTAATCTTTATCTGGTGATTCTAAACTCCTTTCACTTCATTTCCTTTGATTTTCTGTTCCCTACACACTTCACCTTCTATTAATTAAAGGTATCTGTTTCTTCTCAGAAAGAGCTAACAACAGGGGGGAGGGGGATCAATAAATTTAAATTATGTAAATCAAGTGAGTACATTCCCTGACCATAATGGAGTTTAACTAGAAATCAATAACCTAAAAATTTCTGAAACACTCTCCCCCAAGTATTTGGGGATTATTTAAATGTCTAGATAACCTATGTTTCCAAGAAGAAATCAAGAGAAAAATAAGTACATCATTCCGACTTGAATGAAGATGAGTTTACAGAATTGAAGAGCAATAGGAGAGTGCTTGCAAATCAATCATCTTCCTTCTTAAGCTACTAGGAAGATATATACAAATAATATCTAATGCCCAAGCTTCTTCATAATGCAAACAATGGTTTGGCTTGACAATGTAGCAACCTGTTGTCTTTCCATTAGCATAGTCATGAATCTACATACCTGGTAATGGGTTAATTTAATAATGTGTCTACTAGTACATAATGGAGGTTGTCCCGTTTATTCAAGGAACAGGTGGCATCCCATTGTGGAAGTTAGAAACAATCCAAGTAGTTGAATTTTATGAATAAAATCCATTTACATGGGTTAAAAATAAATAAATAAATAAAATAAACCTGTCTCCTACTACCTACTCTCCCATCTTGTCTCTCCTGAATTTCTGATTCTAACATTTAGTATTCTAATACTCAGTTTTACCAAAACTATTCCTTATCTTAGTGCCCTGGATTCTTAATATTAACCTCGGAGATATTTCCCAAACAGAAAAATAAACACTAAAACACCCAAGATAACACTAAGGCATGAAATGCCTACACGTTGGTGGCCTTTTTCTGTCCCAAGACAGAGAATCGAAGTCTTAGTGTTCAGGAAAATTAAGTCATTCCAACTCACCGATATTTGAGATTTCATCTCTTGGGGCCAGTCAGTATCCTTGCAACGTAAACCTAAGAGAAAAAAGTGAAGCTGTGAGAAGGCAGATCACCCATCATGCTCATAGAGTAGTTCTTCTGGTCATGAGACGGGGAGAGGTAGTCTCTCAGCTGTGGACACCAAAGCATTAGTATTAATTACCTGACCCCGCAGTCTTGGTCCCCTTTTCACCTTCAACAACTCTTTCAACACCTCTCGCCTTTCGTCAGTTTCTTCCTGATCTCCCTACCTTCTCTGTCTGTACAACCAAAAACTGCTCTCCCTGGGCAGAAGGACCAGGGAAGGCACAGAGCCAGTTGCAGGTGATTTCATCATCTTCCTCAATAATGTAAGCCCCCTTTGATCCCAAGCAGCCAGGCCTGTGGGATGGAGAAACATGATCCTACTAAATCCTTTACGGTGTGCTCAATACAGGGCTCCTGTCCTTTCACAATGTACTCTAGGCTACTTGGGGTTTCTGGATTTTCAACCTTGCTTCATTTCAGGTTTATAATCCCTCCAATCTGGTCCCTGACACTGCATTTCCTGTCAGAATCTCCTATGCCTTCCTTGCCCCAACAATTCAGATTTCAGCTCTACGTCCCAAGTCCAGTTCTAATATGCGTGAGAAGAAGACAGAACACAGATAAATGCCTATGGAGAAAGTGCCTCGGAATCTCTGGGCAGACTGAGCAGTCTGCTCAGGATGGACTCTGTGGTGCAGGCGCATGACTTAAGGCAGGTGCGTTAGAATGGTGCTGATGTAAGCAGCATGATCTGGGTTTTAAAACCCTATAAACGATCCCAAACTCCTGAGCAGTCCCGGCCATTCATTTATTGCTACAATGAAATAGAATTGTTTTTCTACTCTCCTACCATGGTTTTTTGTTTGCATTCGGCAACCAGTTAAGCTGTTCAGGTCCTGGAATTTCTAGTGACAAATTATAGCCAGCCAGGAGTCAGACAGTTTCAGAAACAGATTAGACAGCCGAATGTCCCTGATGTCTACAGCCACCAGGAAATCACTCCTGAAGACCCCAAAGCTGTTCAGGAGGCTGGCTCACCCTAGAACCAAAGGTTACTTGGGGAGAGGCAGACATCTGCCTGAGGCGTTTCTCCAGAAGAACAGTGCATCCTTGATGACGTGAATTTAAATCTTCCATAAAGCTTTAAAGGCAAGCTCCAAGGGGACGTGATCAGTCACGGAGGGCACTGAAAGTTGTAGGCTGTAGGTGTTTCCGTGTTTGTTGGGTGCCCCTTTGGAAATTGGGTCAGTTACTTGGTCTGGGCACATAGTGGGGTAGTGGGTTACACACTGAGCTGGTAACCTGAAGGTCAGTAGTTAAAAACCACCAGTCACTCCGTGGCAGAAAGATGAGGCTTTCTACTCCCAGGTTACAGTCTGTGCTACTCACAGGAGCAATTCTACCCTGTCTTATAAGGTCATTGAGTTGTGATCAACCTGATGGCAGTGAGTTTGTCCATGGAATCACTTCAGCCAACACCATCACATTTCCTCATACTCTGAATAACCATAAGGAGGCGCGTTCTTTCTCAACAGTTGTTGAAGGCATATCTTGTATCCTAGGAGTAAAGTAGCAACTCCATTCTGCTTGGAGAACACAATCAAGAGGAAAGAGACTGAACCAAAAGCAGAAGAGGTAGCTCAGCAAACCATGTCAAAGAACACGGTTGCAATGGGCTGATACTTTGCCTTTAGTTTTATTGAGAGTCGGACAGCTCCCAGGGCAAAATTGAAATTAAGCCACTTTTCAGCTAATGAACCTTAGTTGCTCACTGTTCAACCCCATGTGCTTTCAACCCAGTTAGAAATGTACTTGTTTTCTTTTTGCTTTCTTTAACCTCAGTTCTATCCCAGACTCATCAGGCAGGGAGAATAAGACAGCTGCTCCCTTAAACACAGGGAATATAAGACAGATAAATTCCTCAGGACCAATATTGAGTAGCCATACCAGGAGGGCAAGGGGAAGGTGGGGGGAGAAAGTGGGAACCAATCAATGACCTACCTATAACCTGGCCCAGGGGGTTGGAAACACAGAAGGGAGTGGGGGAGACATCGGACAGTGGAAGACATGAAAAAATAATAATTTGTAAAGTATCAAGGGTTCGTGAGGGAGAGAGGGAGGCTAAAACATGAACTGATAGCAAGTGCTCATGTAGAAAGAAAATGCGTTGAAAACGATGATGGCAACATATGTACAAATATGCTTGAGAGAATGGATGTATGGAATGATGAGGGCAATGAATGTACGAATGCGCTTTACACAATTAATGTGTGTGTGGATTCTGATAAGAGTTGTATGAGTCCGCCAAAAAAGAGGAAAAAAAGAATGACAGATGCTCCCTTTACCCTGGAAGAATGCTCTCCTTCAGTCAACTCGGCTTGGAAGCTCAGGGGAGTGAGACCTTGGATTTGCTGAGACCCACAGACTGAAGGTGAACCCAGAAGCAGGCTCTTCAAACCCCTCAAGACTTCATATGTTTAAGCCAATATCTTTTCACTCTTTTTTCCTTACATCAAAGACTAATAAAGGGAATGTTTTTCTTTTCTCAATTGCCAGTGGTAGTGTTTAAATTGGAGTGTCAACAATCAAATTCAGAAAACAAGCAAGCAAACAATCAAATGCA